CACCTTCACCCCTGGCCGACAGCGTGTGGCGATCTGCACGTGCTCCCAGACCGGCCGCCACCTGGCCACGTTCACCCGTGCGCCAGGGTCCAGTCTGTACACCCTCACCACTGAGTCCCGCTTCACCCCTTTGTCTCCCCAGCTGCATGCGTCTGCTCAGGTAGCTACCCAGTGTGAGTGTCGCCGGCTGTCTCACGACACCCTCCTGTGGCACCACCGCCTGGGACACCCCTCCCTGCTTCGCCTTCGTAGCATGCACTCTCGCTTTCTGGTTTCTGGTCTTCCCAGGTCTCTGCCTGCCCTCCCTCCCTCGCCTGCGCCACCCTGCATTCCTTGCGTCGAGGGGCGGCAGCGCGCCGCTCCTCACTCCTCCTCGTTCCCTCCCACAGAGGCTCCACTGCAGACTCTCCACCTAGACGTGTGGGGCCCAGCCCGCGTCCGTGGACAGGGCCACGAGCGGTACTTCCTACTGGTTGTCGACGACTACACGTGCTACACCACGGTCTTCCCCTTGCAGCGCAAGGGGGATGTCCCTGATGTTTTGATCCCCTGGATCCGCGCTACTCCTCTCCAGCTCCGCGAGCGGTTCCAGTCAGACTTTCCTGTCCTGCGTCTGCACTCTGACAGGGATGGTGAGTTCTCCTCAGACCTCTTGGCCGCCTTCTGTGCGGAGCACGGCATCCGCCAGACTTTCACGCTTCCGGCCTCTCCGCAGCAGAATGGGTTTGCTGAGCGCCGTATTGGCTTAGTCATGGAGGTCGCTCGTACCTCCATGATCCATGCGGCTGTCCCCCATTTTCTGTGGCCGTTTGCGGTCAGGTACGCCGCGCATCAGCTCAACCTTTGGCCCCGTGTCTCCTTGCCGGAGACCTCACCCACACTGCTGTGGACGGGGAAGGTTGGCGACGCGACGCGTTTCCGGGTCTGGGGTGCACGTGCCTTTGTTCGCGATACCACCGCGGACAAGCTCTCCCCTCGCGCCATTCCTTGCGTCTTCCTTGGCTTCGTCCCTGACGCGCCTGGCTGGCAGTTTTACGACCCCGCCTCGCGCCGTGTCTTTGCGTCCCAGGACGTCACCTTTGACGAGTCAGTCTCCTTTTACCGCCTCTTCCCCTACCGCACTGCTCCTCGCCCTGTCCCGCCGCTCTTTCTTGCCCCAGGTCCTCCCCAGGTAGACCCCCTTCCCGCGCCAGGTCCTGCTCCTTCAGGTGTTTCTCAGGTAGACCCTCCCGTCCCTGCGCCTGTTGAGGTCACTGGTGACTCCGGTCCTGCTGGTGGTGGTGCTGTCCCTGGGGGTGCGGAGCTTGGGGGTGTGCAGCGTGGGGGTGCTGAGTCTGGGGGCGCTGGGCGTGAGGGGCCTGAGGGTACGGAGCCTGGAGGTGCTGAGCCTGCGTGTGAGGAGCCTGGAGGTCCTACGTCTGGGGGTGCTACGTCTGGGGGTGCTGCGTCTGGGGGTGCTGCGTCTGGGGGTGCTGCGTCTGGGGGTGCTGAGCCTGCGTGTGTGGAGCCTGGGGGTGCTGAGTCTGGGAGTGAGTCGCCTGAGGGTCCTGAGACTGCTATTACGCGGTCTCCTTGGAGTAGCCGTCTTCGTCCGCGTGTGCCTCTCACCTCCCAGCAGCTGCACGACTGGTACGGTCGCCGTCAGCGTCGCGCTTCTGCACCTCAGGGCTCTACTGCTGGGGGTTCTCCTGCTGGCGTCACTGAAGCTGGGAGTGGTGTTGGTCCTTTGCCTGCTGGAGGTGTTAGTGTCGCTGGTCTTGGAGGTGCTCGTACTGGGAGTGCTGGAGCTGCTGGGGCTGACGTTGGCGTGTCTGAGGGTGCTGCTGCTGGTGGCACTGCGGTTGGAGACCCTGGGACTGGAGGTGCCGGTTCTGGGGGTGCTGCACCAGGTTGGGCTGGTGCTGAGGGTTCTGGAGCTGCTGGAGGTGCTGGGGCTGCTGAGGGTACTGGGACTGCTGGAGGTGCTGGACCTGCTGAGGGTACTGGAGCTGCTGGAGGAGCTGGAGCTACTGGGGGTACTGGAGCTGCTGAGGGTGCTGGAGGTGCTGGAGCTGCTGAGGGTGCTGGAGCTGTTGGAGGCGCTGGAGTTGCTGAGGGTGCTGGAGCTGCTGGTGCTGGTGGTACTGCACAGCCGCGCCTGTTCTTTCCTCCGCCGTCTCCGTCGTCTCTGCCCCCGCCTGGCTCCGTGCTTCGCCAGGTTCTTAGCCTCCCGTCGTCTACTGGTCTTCCGTTACAGCCTGGCTCACCCCTGCCTGCTCCTTCTCCTTACACTGAGCAGACAGGGGGCGTTGCTGAGCGTCGTGAGCCTGCGTCGCGTCCTGTCTCACCTGTCCTTTCCAGTCGTTCCAGTCGTCGTGTTCCTCGTCAGCGTCAGCCGGCTGTCCCCGGCCCTTCCCTTGTCGTCCGTCGTCCTTCCTCTCCGCCGCCACGTATTCACTTGCCGTCTCCGCCTGCGTCCTCTCTACCTGTCGTTGCTGACCCTGAGTCTGACCGGTTTCGTGCTGAGCACCCTACTGTCACGCGTCTGCTAGCCACTGTTGTCGCCGACCCGTCGTTTGAGTCTGCTGCTGCGTCTACCTTAGTCGCTGAGCTTGTCGACTTTGCTGCTCACTGTCGTCTAGACTACGCTGCTAGTCTTGTTGCTGAGTCTGAGTTTGTCTGCTCTCCGTCCGTCGGGGGTGAGTGTGCTCTTGGCACGGACGTCCTTGAGGACAGGCAGGAGGACCTTGAGTGTCTTGCAGCCGCTGCGCCTCATCTCGTGTCCATGTTGCTTGCCCCTGAGGGAGACCCGGATGCACCAGACATCCCGACTCCACGATCGTACGCTGAGGCGATCGAGGGTCCCTACTCCTCTCAGTGGCAGACAGCTATGGACGCAGAGATGGCATCCTGGAAGTCCACAGGCACCTACGTCGACAAGGTTCCCCCTCCTGGGGCGAACATCGTCAGTGGCATGTGGATTTTCAGGGTGAAGCGGCCGCCAGGTTCTCCACCTGTCTTCAAGGCTCGTTACGTTGCTCGAGGCTTCAGTCAGCGAGAGGGAGTTGACTTCTTCCAGACCTTCTCCCCCACCCCAAAGATGACTACTCTTCGGGTGTTGCTGCACGTTGCCGCTCAGCGTGACTACGAGCTTCACTCTCTTGACTTCAGCACAGCTTTCTTGCAGGGCAGCCTGCACGAGGGGATCTGGCTGCGCCGTCCACCTGGCTTCACTGGGTCGTTCCCTCCTGGTACCCAGTGGAGCCTCTGACGGCCAGTCTACGGTCTCCGCCAGGTGCCACGTGAGTGGCACGACACACTGAGGACGACTCTTGCGGCTCTTGGGTTTGCCCCGTCGACTGCTGACCCGTCGCTGTTTCTGCGCACCGACACTTCGCTCCCGCCGTTCTACATCCTAGTGTACGTCGACGACTTGGTCTTTGCCACTGCTGACACTGAGGCGCTCGCCCTGGTGAAGTCGGAGCTGCAGAAGAAACACACGTGCACAGACCTGGGTGAGCTGCGCAGCTATCTTGGCCTGCAGATCACCCGGGACAGAGCACGCCGCACTATCACACTGACTCAGTCACACATGGTGCAGCAGGTCCTTCAGCGCTTCGGCTTCACCTGGTCCTCAGCACAGGCCACTCCTCTGGCTACAGGTCACTCGCTCTCAGCTCCACCTTCGGACGACTTCGTAGAGCCGAGTGGTCCTTACCCAGAGCTAGTGGGCTGCCTCATGTACCTGATGACCTGCACTCGTCCTGACCTTGCGTACCCTCTTGGCCTTCTGGCTCGCTACATGGCTCCTGGTCGGCACCGAAAGGTGCACATGGATGCTGCTAAGAGGGTACTACGCTACTTGTGCAGTACATCGGGCATGGGGCTCGTGCTTGGAGGACGGGGTGACGTTGTCCTCACTGGTCACTTGGACGCCTCTTGGGTTGACGACCAGGCTACGCAGCGGTCGTCACAGGGTTACACCTTCAGCCTTGGTTCTGGTTCAGTTTCCTGGCGTTCTACACGTTCGTCGTCAGTTCTCGGCTCCAGCTGTGAGGCCGAGATCTACGCCACAGCCATGGCTGCACAGGAGCTACGCTGGCTCACCTACCTGCTGACCGACTTGGGAGAGCGGCCTCGTTCTCCTCCAGTTCTGTGCGTCGACAACAAGGCCGCCATTGCCTTGTGTCAGGAGCACAGACTGGAGCACAGAACGAAGCACATCATTCTGCGTTACTTCCTTGCTCGAGAGCTGCAGCAGCGTGGCCAGCTTCGTCTTGCTTACGTGGCCACTCGGGCCAACACTGCTGATATATTCACCAAGGCGCTTCCGCCTGGTGATCATCAGCGTTTCTGCACCTTGTTAGGCCTAGTGCCCACACTTCCTCACTTGCTGTAGGCTTTGTTTGTACTGTGATATATATATATATGTATATATATATCTGCAAATGAACTGGCCTTGTGGTCTTTTGCTTGTGCTCAGACTGTGTGGTGACGTTGTGATCCACCCTGAGCTGTGTTTTGTTTCTTCTCTTGACTGGTCTTGTGACTGTTGCTTGCTCTGGCTATCCCCCATTTCGCCTATGGGGGTGTGTCAAACTATATATATATGCTTGTTTAGGTTATCTAGGCTGTATGGGGGTTAGTACTAGGGGGTACACAAACTTTTTCGATACCCTAGTCTTGTTCCCTAGCCTTCACCTAATTGACTCATCATTGCCTTCGGTTCTTAACAGTGTGACAGAGCAAATTGTACATTTGACAGCCTCTTTGGCCTTTGTCCGTAGTCCGAAAGCATCTCTACCCTTGCTCTTTGACTCAAAACTGGTACCGTACAAGTGCTACCACCAGGTACAGTTTGGAAGTACTGTAACCCACACACCTTACCCTAGCTATCCATACTCACATTTATATCCAGCCCCCTATTGAAGTTTGAGCACAACCTGACTGGTTAGTGATCAGTTCAGGTTTTCTTAAAGCCTCGGGCTCTCATCTCACATCAACCCCAGACAAGCTGGCTCTTAAACTACCATATTCCTGCACGCAAGACACAGAGAGATTTTTTTTTTAGGAACAACCAGCAACAAAGGGCCAACATCAAAAGAACGACGGAGCTTGGGGGTTTGGAGGTGGCTTACCTCATCCGGCGAGTCAGGGCATACTCTGACAAAAGGGGCTTGCAATCTTCTCCAAACGTACTTTAGGCCATGAAATGATCGGATCAAAAGGTTTTGATCAAGTGTATAAGCATGGTTATTGGATGCCTGAGCTTCAAAAGAGGTTTCCAGTTGCGATGACAAGTGGAAGGGCGAGGAGTGGAGTGGTAGGATCTTGTCACAAGGGCTATGCTCAAGCAGGTCTCTTGGGCCAACTGCAAAGAGTCCAGGGTGATCCATTAAAACACAGATTAGTGGCCGTTGGGCCATTATGTACTGAACATTAACAATCCAAGGAACTGTGCTCATACCGTTGTCCTCCAGCTTGTGCTCAACAAAGTAGTAGACCAGAGGTACAACGTACCTGAAAATGGACACATGAAAGAACTGTCAGCTCGGACGAAAATAACAAACGAACATGCTGTCCCAGAATCTTTCAATTCTTACCATGCAATGACAACGTCCACTGTGTAGTGCTTGCGTGATGCGATTATCAATACCGACATAACTCCAGACAATAACCATGACAGATGCTTGAAGAGGCTGAAAAGGCAGCAATGAAGTCAAAGGCAAGCGAGACGCAGGCTCACAAGATGTCATCAGACACACGAATTCATCCAGCACAAAAAAACAAGGCATTCAGGTGAAGTACGAGCTCACAGATTGGTTCCATATTTGGAGTAGGTGATGACAACAGTGAGGATGAATGTCATGTGGGAGGAAAAGATGAGGTCACCACACCCATGCATGGCTGCGGCAACCACAGGTGCAGCAATATGATACTGGTTACAAATTGATAACAAGAAAGGAGAGAAAAATGATGTATTGGAAATCCGCTCTGCTCAAGGCATGCCTATAACAATGCTTCGCCCACCATTAAGGTACAGCACGTCCTGGATTCCAGTGTATTTGAGGATAGCCGTGGGAGATCCCTGCACGTTCATAAAGACCACAAGAGTTACACAGAAACCGAGCTCTGAAGGAGAGGGAAAATGGAAATCGATGCTAGCATACCTGTCTACAATGATGTGCAGGACCAGGTAGTTGTGTTGCCGTAAAAGACAGTACCCGAAAAGTCTGACACATCTGTCAAGGCACCCGTTCTATCCACATTAACCATCACCAGTCACTATCAGACACACAAGCCAAAATAAGGAGAACTTAAGCTAGCATCTTACCACAAATACCGTCAGAATTTTGCACCACACAAGCACAGTGTAAAATTGCTTCTTGGTGCACACGAAGGGATGGAATGTCCACTGAGACACACAAAAGAAAGTGTCAGATGATACTAAAGCAACACATCTATCACGGGAAAGCCAGGATACAAGAACATTTAGCATTAGAGAAAGCAATCGGACTGAGTCAGTGCAGTCCACTCCAAATGCTTACAACGCAGCAAGGAATGAAAATGGCGAAGAAGAGGTATTCACTGATGAAGAAATACTCAGGACCGACTTCCTGTCAAAAAAGCATGTGAGTACTTCAGCACCAAGCAAATTCGAGTAACGCCATGACAGATCGAGATACAAAAGCGGCTTATGTGAAAGGCAGAGGTTAACGAAGAAGCTCACAGGGACAAGTTCGAACCCGACATCATGTAACGAAGGACGAGGAGTGTGGAGAAAGTGAGCTGTTCGAGTTAAGAAACCGTGAACAAACTGCAGTTGAGCAGAAACACATGGTCAATGGTGCCCTCATTTTTTTTAACCAGGATAATTTAGGAGCACGAGAGACGTGCCTGAAAAAGGATACCAGATGCAATAATCGACCACTTCTCCTTGAATAGTGACCATTCAGCAGCCACCTCTAATCGTATTCGGCGACAGAGCTGCGAAAGATAAGTAGGATTTTTTGTATTATCACATATATCCGACGAGGCATTGATGAGATGGAAGGAGATGAATAAGGGCTGTTTCCGCGACAAACGCTAAAGAGCAGCTTGCCTTGCATAAGGTCCTGCTCGCAAACGAAGGGAACCCGTAAAGCACCATCGCACCAATCGCATCTAGTAGAAACTGATGGTAGCTTCAGTGCATGTATACGCGAGTCACAAAGAGCTAAGCTTGAGTAAACGGCAAAAGTGGCACCAAAGAGCATACCTAAAGACGTAGGCCAGCTCGCCCTCAAATTTCTGCTTGGAATCTAGAAACTCCAGCCGCCATAGAGAAAGCGACGAGTAAAGTTCTGGGTGATGGTGAGAAAGGTTCACAACAGCTGGTGAAGCCGGGAGGAAGCAGACATGCACGCGGTCCGGTAGCCTTAACGACCATCCCAATGCCAGCATCCCAAACCCACGTCAAGTCGCCAGGCTGGTCTGACGTGGCATCGCAGATCTGGCTCTGGCGGTCCGATTCGCGTGAAGTGCTGGTCAACTGAGCTTTCTGGCGCAGGTTATGGGTGGTACAAAAACGGCAATCAGTTCAAGTCGTGTCTCAGAATGAAAACGTCACGGTTTCCGTTCGTGACTCCGTTTCTTGCTGACGTCGGCCCAGCTGGTCGCATCAGCAGTTGGCTGAAGTTCCTATTAGCCATCAGGACCCGCGAGGCAAATTCGACACCCCCCAAGCTGACGCCAGCAGCACTATTTTGAGCTTGCTTCATCTTGAAGGCCCGTGCAAGAAGCGCCAGCTGAACAAAACACTGCGGACGCGTTTCGAAGTAACAAATTCGGGACAGTAACGAAAACTTTTTTTTTCCTTATGCAACTTGTGTTCTCCTGATTGCATCACTCAACTCTGTGTCAGACGCAGTGACTCAAATCCATCCTTTCATCAACTCTCGTCCAGATTCCAAGCCGAGCCAAGATGCTGTGGTGCAATGGCTCCACTCCACAGGCCTCAGTCCATCAATCAGCCCATCCGTTCATTCATGCGATGTTGACGTAGTGTGCTCTAGAACTAACTTATTGTCGTCATCTACTAATCCATGTCAGTGGGGATGAACAGCTTCAGCAATAAGTAACTTTCAATCTCTGTTGCCTGATGGCTCCGACACTCGCATTGTCCGCTCCTCTTTCATACCTATCCACATCCCGTGTCAGAGTTGCCGTTCGAGCCTCCGTTAGACATTCACGCCACGGCTCAAGCAAGAAGCTACACATTTCCCAGATTCCAACACCTGTAGATGCGCGAGTCTCGCCGATCAGGCATCGGCCGTCGCGGCTGTCAATATGCAGGTCGAGGAATTTCGACGACATCGCAGAGCCGTTGAGTCCTGAATTGAGCGACGCACCGACGGACCACCCCGCACCGCCTCCTGACGCGACGACATCAGAACAGCAAGCCGGAGATGTGTCTGGAGCGGCGGAATTTCAGCATTCGGACATCAGTCACCATGGAGCTCCCATGCCAGAAGCCAACCAGCCGTCTGCCGGCGGTACTGAGCGTCTTGACATACCTCACAACAATGTCTCGTCGCAGTCGGTCGCAATTCGCGAAAGCTCGCTCGAGTCGTCGCAATCTTCGCAATCATCGCTGGGGAACGATTGGTCCTCTGCGCATCAGTCCGAACCACCGCGAGAAACTGGATTGTACAGAGCCGGAGCCTTGGCGAATCGTTCAGAGAACCCAATAACCCCGCAATTCGCGAGCGTAAAAAACGTCGGTATTCCATCTGCTGCGGTTACAGGCATTACGTCTGATGGCCTAATCAACGGTGAGCAGTCATATAATGGCGCATCTTCCGCGTCGAACAGCAGTGAGGAGAAGAGCCTTGCCGAGGCGGCAACAGCAGTGGCAGGGACGAGCGAAGCAGCGACGATCCCGACAGCGGCTGGTGATGCGGCAGCAGTAGTGAGGGACGCGATTGGGGAGATGGAAGAGGGGAGTGTGGGTGGCGTACCGGGCGGGGAAGGCGTGGGGGTTCAGTTGCAGCAGGCGCAGGCGCAGTTGCAAGCGCAGCTTCAGGAGCAGCTGCAGGCATTGGAGAACCTGCTGTCGCTGCTCGGCCTAGGCGTCGCTTCTGCTGCGAATTCGCGGAGACCTGCGGAGCCGGGGGAAGAGTGGGGGGATAGCGGAAGCGGAACGGCGGATTGGGTCGGCGGACGAGAGGAGCGCGCGCGTCGGAAAAGAAAGAAGCTGGCCATGGCGCGTGCAGCGAGCAGGCTAAAGAGCATAAGTGTTGCGAATATGGACTATAATACGAGGAGCATCGGATTTGGCAGCAGCGGCAGCAGTAGCGCCATGGGTGACAGGGACGGGAGCGACAGTAGCAGGGACAAAGATACGGCATTAGGGTTCACTGGCACAGGGAGTCAGCCGGTATCGACTCGACCCTTCGAGAATCGAAGTAAGCAGTACCAAGACGATCCTGCCAGTCAGCAATCTTCCCCCCTCGCTTCTCCCGCGGCCTCGAGCGTTACTTCGTCCGCCCCTTCCCCGTTCGCCTCCCCCTCGGGCGCGGAAGCAGAGGGCGCGGAGCGGAAGGTTCTAGAGCGCGCAGTGGTGGAGATGGCGTTGCTGCAGGAGGTGTCGCGCGGGGGGATCGAGGGCTCGACTCTGGAGGAAGAGTGGGGGGAGCTGCGCCAGGCAGTCAGCCAGAACCCGCAGCTCTCGCGACTCTATAACGAGTACGCGCGCGACGCGCTTCTGGCGCGGGAAGAGCAGCGGCGGCAGGAGGCGGGCGGGGGAAGGTGGAAGGTGGACGCGCGGGGGAGGAGGATCAGGAAGCGGAGACGGGGGCGGAAGGCGGAGGCGGAAGGGGAGGAGGGGATGAGCAGCAAGGCGCGGACGGAGGAGAGGCTGCGGCGGTGGAGGGCGGGGGTGGTGGCGGCGGCGACTCAGAGCACAGTGGTGGAGGTGGCGACGATGGTGGTGCTGACGGTGCTGCCCATTGCGGCAGGCGCGTTTGTGTATGTGAACGTGCAGGAGTGGCTCAAGGCCGTGGCGCCCCAGCCTGCCGTTGTGGAGAAGGAACCCTGGTGAGACTGGGAGGGTGGCGTGGGGTTGGGTGGGGTGTGGTGAGGCTGGGAGAGGTTTCAGACAGGAAAATCCGTCGTAGGATGTGAGTAGGGGTCATAAAATAGGTTGTCAAGGGGAGTATGATAATTATAAACAGCAGCATCACCACTCCCTCCGCACCATATTCCTGCACTTCCTGTTGCCTTCTCGCCTTGTCCCCGACCGCCCATGCTCCTCCCGCTCATGCCATCAGGTGGATGCTGTTTGGCCCAGCAGCCAGTGCAGCGGGCACGGTGTTTGGAATGGCAGGGCTGGGCTTCGCAGCCAAGACAGCCGCAGCGGCGCCAGTGGCCGTGGCAGTGGTGCCGCAGATGGACGCCCTCTGGCGCTCCTTTGGAGGCGCTAGCCTGGTGCGCCCACCCTTCTTCTCACGCTCCATCCCTTCTCCACCATCGCTTTTCGCATCGATTGAGATTTTTCAATATGGACTCCAGCCTTGTTCTTGCGCTTCCTCAGTGCTTTGTGAGACGCTTGTGTTGCATTCAGAGTCGCCCCCGTTCCCACCTGCTTCTCCCTGCTCCCTGTGTGTCCGTCCATTGGCCCCCCTTGCAGGTGGCGCTGTACTGGCGCACGCTGGTGTTTGGCAAGACGTTTCGCAGCATAGAGTGGGACCTGGAGGCATACGATGCGCCCAACGGCAACATGAAGTCCATCACCATCCGTGTGCCCTCCCTCGTCAGTCTCAACCCCACTTCTCACTACTCCACTACTGGAACCCGTGCCTTGTTATCTATTGCTCCCTGGGTGAACACTGAACCAAAAAAGCGATAATGCTATGAGCGCCCGACATAGCAAATCCTCCCCATGCTCCTTTCAGTACAGCTGTGAAAGTAGAGTTATGCTTCTCGCAGTTCTCACACCACTTTCCCTGTGCGTCACACTTCTCCACCCTCCCTGCGACTCTTCCCCTCTGCTCGGGCAGAATGCAGTGCGCACCAAGATAGCGCTGGCGAATGGCCTTGCGGGCGCCAGTGAGGTGGAGCAGCTGGCGCTGTGGATCCCCAACTCTGGGGACTTTGTGGTCAGTGCCTCACTGCACCACCTCCCACCCAGCTCCACACATTGTGTTTGTGATGATGCATCTGCCCCTTTGCTTGTGTCCCACTCTGTATGTATGTTCCTGCCTGTCCATGGAAGTGAATAACATTGTATCTTCTAACAATGACTCAATTGTTGCTGTCCCTCCCCCTCCCAGGAGCCCCTGCGCCTGGCCAAGGACCTGGCGCTGATCCCGGACTTTGGCTTTGTCATCTGGTCGCGCACTCCTGCCTCCCTGCACTGCCTGCCCTCCCGCGCTGCCAAGACCATGCCCTCACCCACTGCTGCAGCAGGGTCAGCTGGCGCTTCTGGGGGTGGAAGTAGCAAGGCCACAGCGGCTGGTGCTGCCGTTGGAGGGAAGGCTGGTGGTAGCGACAGTGAGGCAACGAGTGTAGGTAGCAGCATCGGCAGTAGTGGCAGCTCTAGCAGCAGCAGTAGCAGTAGCAGTGAAAGTGATGGAAACATTGGTAGGAGGAGTAGCTGGGCTGATCTAGGAGTTGGGGGCATGGGTGATGATTTAGTGTGGGGTGAGCGTAACGGTGGCAGCAGTGGCTGGGCACAGCAGAGTGAGGCGGCAGCAGTGCCAGCAGCAGGAAATGGAGGCATGCAGGCTTCAGCGCAGCAAATGGTGCAAGGCCAAGTGGCAGCCAATGGTGCTGTGGCTGCTGCAGGAGTGGCACGCCCAGGAATGTCGGGACTGCTTTCACCATCTGTGGGAAGCAGTTCAGCAGCAGCAGTAGCACCAACAGTCGCAGCACAATCACGAGCAATAATGCCAACTGCAGCAAGTGCACCACTTGCAACAGCACAACCACCACCAGCACCACCACCAGCACCACCATCACCAGCAGCAGCCACATCCGTCCAGTCAATGGGGACGAGTCCAGGCACATCAGCACCTGCTTTTGCTGCTGGTGATAGCAGCCGGCATGACAATTGGGAGACGCAGGGAGTACAGGGGATGAGTGATGCCGACATCGCTGTTGCCATGATCCAATTCATAGTAACCACCTCTGCAACACTGTCCGTCACGTCTCCTACTTGTTCAACTGCCGCTTCCTCCTCCCCCACTTTGATACCCAATACAGCACAATCACAAGCTTTTTCAACAGCACCATCAGCAGCACCAGCAGCAGCAACAGCACCAGGCTCAGAACCCAAGGGTGGGAATGCAGCAATCTCAGGCCCAATAGCAGGTGGGCCCTCCAATGGCAGCGTCTGTGCTCTTGATTCAGCCAATCAGCTGCCATTCACAGCAACCATAATGGAAGCTTCTGTCTCCCGCCTCTTGCCCTCCAGTAAATCAGAGCAGGATGGAGGACGAGGGGGAGAAGGGATGGAGCTGGGAGAAACGAGGCAGGGAGGAACTGGAGAGGAAGTGAGGGAGGAAGAACCACGAGTGCTGGCAATGTCTGAAGACGAACAGGATGAGTTGATTGAGAGGGCAGCTCGGTGCGACCCTGTGTTGATTGTTCTGTTTAGGGCTTTGTCACATGATCCCCAGAGGTTCATGCGACATGCCTTGTATCACATTAGAAGGTGAGTTGGCATGCTTTGTACAGGTTTTAGGCTTGTTAATATGGCTTATTCAGATGTATATTTTATGGCATGCAACTTCTTACACATAGATGGGTGGTACTGTAACTGGTGAATGGCTCATCTGATGAATACTTTCTGATGGACTCAATTTACTGACCACATTCGTTGTACATAGCGTTGTACAGAAATGAAGGGTACCGTAATAACGAAGTTATGCTGTTCGGCATCCTTCTCGATTCCCTCGCCACCACACCTCCGCCATGTCCTCTCGCTGTGTTCTATCCACCTCCCCCTCCTCCCGTGCATCCTCCAACAGCGTCACTTGCGCTGTGATTTTAGCGGGACATCTCGTCGCTTCTCTTCTCATCCCAGTCACTGCATGTTAGCTGGAATTAGATCAACATTGAAGTATATTTGAAAACACAGTTATATCTTGCAGTGAAATTGGACTGATATCTTCAGTCTCCGCGTGTCGCTGACCTAGAAGGAATAGGGTTTTGATAAATAAACCTCTAGCACTTCCATTTCCAGTTCGTCTTCTTGTTTTGTCGCTCAAGACATGGCGGCTATAGATCAGACCGAAACAGAGACGAACACAGCAGCGGCGGAGAAGACGGAGACAGGAGGAGCGGCGACGGAGAGCGAAGCGCTGGTGAAGCATCCGCTCGAGCACCGCTGGACGCTCTGGTTCGACAACCCGCAGCAACGCGGGAAAAGCGGCGGCTCGTGGGGCAGCTCGCTCCGCGTGATCTTCACGTTCGGGACCGTTGAGGACTTCTGGTGGTGCGTGGCTCAACCTAGCGTTTACTCCTGTTTCGATTTCTAAACTCGCGTTTCGACTCTTCTAAGCTGTCGTCAATCAATCTCTCTTAAGCGATTCGTCTTTGGTGGTTTGGCTCCTAAGGGAGTGCTCAGGACCTTCCGCCGTTTCGCGATCCTTTCCACCTCACGACTCCCATCGTTAACCCTCGTTTCTGCCTTGTCCCGTTTTTTTCTTCTTGGGCAGTTTATACAACAACATAGTGCAGCCGAGCAAGCTGATGAACAAGGCGGACATGCATCTGTTCAAGGAGGGCATTCAACCCAAGTGGGAGGACCCCAAGTGCGAGAAGGGCGGCTCCTGGACCATCCCGTGCTCGCGGAGCAAGGAGTACCTCGATAACATGTGGCTGCACTTGGTGAGACATGCCTCATTGCCTGCCTGTTTGCAGTTCAAGATGACTCTCTGGACATGACTTGGCGATTTCGGGTGTGCCCCGTACGCATTAGAGTGACACCTTGCCATGTGCCAGTAGTCTTACTGCGTGACGACCTCCTCTTCTTGCTTTGTACAATAGTTGCCTTGTCCAACCAACCAGCCCTGGTGCCACCCCCGAATGTCCTGCAATGCAGATGCTGGCGATGATAGGCGAGCAGATTGACGAGGGCAACGACATCTGTGGCGCCGTGGTGAGCATCCGACCAAACAAGGACAGAGTGGCGCTCTGGACTAAATCCGCTGCCAGCGAATCCATTCAGGTACAACTGGGGCTTCCATGCTTGCACTGCACCTTTGGTTCCACTGTGGTCTTTCAACCTGGCATGTGATGGTTGTTCTGAGATCTATGGCAACATTATCTTTCCCGCTGATCCTGGGTGCAGACGAGCATTGGCAAGCAACTGAAGGAGATTCTGGGCGTGACGGAGCAAATCGGGTTCTCTTCTTTTGTGAGTTTGGCATGCTGTCTATGAGAACGCTGCTGCTCCTTAGCTTGTTCCTTTTGCTGCTGTATGAGAGATTTCGGAGCACAACTGCCTTATGTTCTCTGACGCGTTATCTTTCCCTGTGCAGGCGGACCAGAAAGGGTCAAGGTCAGCCTCGGATAAGTACTCCGTCTAGCTTTGCACACTAGCTTCTCTCCTTGCCGCTGTATGACCTGCTTTTCTAAAAATGGCACAAAGTTCCTGTGTGGTTTCCAGTTACGGGTAGTTGTGCATTTTTTTAATCGGTCAACTCGCAGCATGAACAGCGTCTGCTGCACTGTCGACCACAAAGTCGTTAAAACCGAAATATAAAATAGTGAAGGCGGATCCAACTTGAAATCGTGCTCGGAAGAAGCAAAACTGGAACGACGATGGGCTGTGTAAAACACTGTTCCGGGCATCGCCCTTCCACAGACTGAACACACGTGATTCGTTCCCGCCAAAAAAAAAAAAATCAGATCGTGCTCGCGCGTTCGCATTTTCTGCATGCGACATTTGCACGACAGTTGTTTGTCGTGCGTTTTGATGGTTGGACCCGACTTCGACTTTCAAGCTGGGCCTGGGTTCCACATATGCTTACTTCAACTCCATTCACGTAGCTTGCCTAACTCACGGAGCTTGCCTAGCATAGAATAGCCAGAGACGAGGGATTAGGCTGATGCGGCATAGAAATGAAATTATCATTAGATTGTTTGTGATACTTCGTCGCCGTTGCTGCGTAGTGATATTTTCCTCGCGATCACAGAGAACCCCATTCCCGTCGCCATTCCTCTCACCCCTCTCATCGCCCACTATGCTATCCTCGAGTTCGCCAAATCGCCCACCCGTCTCCCTTTCCGTCGCGCGTCACGTCGCCATCTCGTCGCCCGTCCCGTCGCCCTCTTCGTCGCCCTCTCTCCCCTCCTCTCCTCCCGTCGGCCTCTCTCTCGCCCCTCCCTACCGATCGCCCTCCCGTCGCTCGCCCCGTCGCGCTCTCTCTCTCCGCTCCCTTCCCGTCGCCCTCTCTCTCGCCCCTCCCTTCCCGTCGCGCTCTCTCTCTCCGCGCCCTTCCCGTCGCCCTCTCTCTCGCCCCTCCCTTCCCATCGCTCTCTCTCTCTCCGTTCCGCCCTCTCTCTCGCTCCTCCTTCGAATCGCGCTCTCTCTCCGCTCCCTTCCCGTCGGCCTCTCTCTCCGCTCCCTTCCCGTCGCGCTCTCTCTCTCCGCTCCCTTCCCGTCGCCCTCTCTCTCGCCCCTCCCTTCCCGTCGCGCTCTCTCTCTCCGCTCCCTTCCCGTCGCCCTCTCTCTCGCCCCTCCCTTCCCGTCGCACTCTCTCTCTCCGCTCCCTTCCCATCGCCCTCTCTCTCGCCCCTCCCTTCCCGTCGCGATCTCTCTCTCCGCTCCCTTCCCGTCGCCCTCTCTCTCGCCCCTCCTACCCGTCGCGCTCTCTCTCTCCGCGCCCTTCCCGTCGCCCTCTCTCTCGCCCCTCCCTTCCCATCGCGTTCTCTCTCTCCGCTCCGCCCTCTCTCTCGCTCCTCCCTTCGAATCGCGCTCTCTCTCCGCTCCCTTCCCGTCGCGCTCTCTCTCTCCGCTCCCTTCCCATTGCCCTCTCTCTTTCTGCTCCCTTCCCATCCTCCCTTCTCGCTCGCCTCGAATAGCCCTCCCGGCGACCTTCGACTCTCCCATCACGTATGCCCTCCTTTCTCCGTCGCCTCTCTCGTTCTCCCTCTGCTATCGCGTCAGCGTGACCCTTTCCGTACTCTGTTATTGTGTTTGGTTTGTTTGTTTTTTCTGTCTTTCCATCTATTCTCGACACCCTCTCTCCCGCCGCCTATCCTCTCTCCCGTCGCCCTCCCGTTTCCCGTCGCCCTCCCGTTTCCCGCCCCCCTCCCGTTTCCCGTCGCCCTCCCTTTTCCCGTCGCCCTCACGTTTCCCGTCGCCCTCGCGTTTCCCGTCGCCCTCCGGTTTCCCGTCGCCCTCCCGTTTCCCGTCGCCCTCCCTTCTTCCGTCACCCTCCCTTTTCCCGTCGCCCTCGCGTTTCCCGCCCTCCCGTTTCCCGTCCCCTCCCGTTTTCCGTCGCCCTCCCGTTTCCCGTCGCCCTCCCGTTTCCCGTCGCCCTCGCGTTTCCCGTCGCCCTCCCGTTTCCCGTCGCCCTCCCGTTTCCCGTCGCCCCCCTTCTTCCGTCGCCCTCCCGTTTCCTACGCCCTCCCTTCCCGTCGCCCTCCCGTTTCCTGTCGCCCTCCCTCTTTCCCTTCATTCGCGTCACCTTGCCCATCATAATTTCCCCCCTAGTGCTGTTTTTCTCTTCTGTTTCCCGTTATTGCACCTCTCCCAGGCCTCAAGTCCAAGGCAGCACATTGATCAGAGCTCTACTAGCTCTAATAACGTTCAAACACTTTCACTCTCATCACGTACATGTGTGTCTGCTTGGGATTTAGCGTGAGATGTTGCTAGTTGTGAATTTGGTGAAGTATTGGCTCTAGTGAATGGAGGAGTGCTCGTCGCTCAACTTTGCGCCAAATTCGCACATGTACATGTGAGAGAACTTGGCTGCCAATCAGAATTGACAATGAACTATCGTTCCTGGTCCAATAAGAAACTCGTCCGAGGGTCGGAAAAAAAAGCACACATACAGCAATTCCAACATTCCAAAACAAAACGAAAATACTTCATCTTCAAGTGGACCCAACTAGAAGGGGGGGGTCACTATTTTGCCTGCTGGCTTTAATGCACATGAGAGTGTCCGTCTCTCTAGTTGTCTGCCTAAGCCAACTGTTCTTAGGGTACGTTCCTGTGGAGACACTTATGTCTCAATCCCCTTTTTTCCGAGTCGCGTCTACACATTTTTGCAATCTCGCGTCACAAAAAATGAGTGTATCACGAAACTGTGCGACCAGGCGAAATTTACAGCTGTGCTCATTTGATTGGATTTCAAACTTGACTGAACACCTGTTTCTTCAACTGTCTGGTTCGGGTGGGGTTTTGACGAGCGGAACTTTTTCCCGCGCGAGATTTTTACTGTGGAATGTCCAGGTGCATTGACATTTCGAACCGCGTACAGAGTTAGTTTACAATGACGGGTCGATACGCAACTCGTCCGCGACATCAGCGCGTTTCACGCTGACAAATGAAAAATACATTAAAAGTCGCACAAGGGCGACACGCGTTTGTGACATTGTACGTTATAAGCTGGTTTTACGCGTCACAAAAGGATTGAGACACAAGTGTCTCCACAGGAACGCACCCTACTCTCCATTTAGTTCCATGTTGTCAAATAGTACTTAGGAGATTAGGAGCTTGGAGGGAGAGAGTAGCATAGCGAGATGGATATCGAGGGAGTTTGGGTTGGCCAAAGAGGTTCAATAATGAGAAACAGTACAAGGATATAGGCAAGGAAAAGAGAGGGTACACCACCAACAGTTGATGCTAATAACTAAACTAGTACACTAGCTAGCTGTAGGCAGTTATAAGATATGCAATATAATTCAACACACCCCCGTAACTGCCTACGGCTGTAGCTAGTGGTGTCTGGCACCAGGTCGCCTGGAGAGCGGTTGCTGTAGCTGGGATAGGCACAGAAACAGCGGTGGCTGACCGGCAGCACCTGTGAACGCCAGAACGGAGGTGGGCGCGGAGAGCGCGGAGGAGGGCTGGGATAGCCGGAGGGCGAAGGATGCTGGTCGCTCGCCATCTACGAGCAAACACAACTGTTGGTGAGGAGGAGGAAACTGGTGGTGGTGCACAGGAGGAGATGCGGCTGGAGGAGAGGAGATAGGAGGAGGAGATGCGGCTGGAGGGAGGAGAGAGGAGGAGGAGATGCGGCTGGAGGGAGGAGAGAGGAGGAGGAGATGCGGCTGGAGGGAGGAGAGAGGAGGAGGAGATGGTGCAGCGGAAGGTAGAGGGAGGAGGTGCGGCTGGGGCTGCCTTGTCTCCCCCCCCCCCAACGCGGCACGCCCAGCAGATGCGGTGCAGCGAGGAGGAGGAGGATAGGGGGGTTCAAGGGGGGCTTTAGTACCCCCGGAGCCTCGCCTGCCAATCCCGCCAACCCCCTCCCCAAGTCTCTGCCGTTGCAGTGCGCGGCAGAGGGGAGGGCGGGGAGCAGGATGGAGATGTCGGGGGCGCCAACGAACTTCGTTGGCGCTGACGCGGGCGACTGCTGCCGTCGGCCCGCCACTCCCTCCCCCCATCCTCCACGTTATAGCTACCGCCCCCGCATACGTGCAGGGGCGGGACGGGTGCGGAAGCGCACGGGGGGCGAACGGGGGGGCGGCAGAGGCGCAGCAGTGGGGCGACGTGGCGACGAAGGGGCGGGGCGATGGGGCGAGACGAGGCGGCCGCGACGAACGGCGATCGCGCAGCTGCTGCAGTACTCGCGCTGCATTTCGCGACCGTCTCCCTGCTCGTCGCGGCGGTCGCCTTGCAGGCCGCCAGCAGCTGCAAACGAGCGTGAGGGAAAGCTCCCATGGTTCAAATTTGAGCGAGGGCCTAGGACCGAAACACGGGCTCTGATACCATGTCAAATAGTACTTAGGAGATTAGGAGCTTGGAGGGAGAGAGTAGCATAGCGAGATGGATATCGAGGGAGTTTGGGTTGGCCAAAGAGGTTCAATAATGAGAAACAGTACAAGGATATAGGCAAGGAAAAGAGAGGGTACACCACCAACAGTTGATGCTAATAACTAAACTAGTACACTAGCTAGCTGTAGGCAGTTATAAGATATGCAATATAATTCAACACATATTGGTCTCTACTCCACGAAATATAAGGACTAAAACTGTACATTTGTATGCACTGGGTGAAATGTTTTTCTGAAGGCGGGGGCTACCTGTTACGGGTGCAATGAATCAAAGTAGCGAGGATTGCACTAAGGTGTCAAACGAGTACAAAATGTGAGCGAAGGCATGAGCGAACATTTATATGCGAAACGTGCAAACGGTAACGCGGTGCGTGCGAGCTAGCTAGTGCTATGCTGGAGCGAGGCTCGGGCTAGTCCCGAAGCGTAGGCCGACACGGCCAGGCCAGTAGTGCGAGCAGGCCCTCAGATATCAGCGTAAAACACGCTGATTACGCTGATTTTGTAGCTGTGATTTTCGTATTCCCTGAAAATTCAGCATATGCTTCAATTTTGCACTGAAATTTCAGTATATCCTACCTTGTCACACTGACCATTTTGCGTGTTTCTTTACAAGTAACACTGACGAATCAGTATAGTGACGTGAGTCACATTGAAACGGAGTTGACCGCGTGTGTGGGGGGGGGGGGGGGGGGGGGGGGATAGGGTACGCGTGTACAATCTGTACACCTGGGCTCCACTAATTTCAAGCCCTGGAAAACGTTTTCAGAGACACCCTAGACCAGATTCGGCCGTATCTTTCAGACACCCAGAATCAAAACGATACCGTCATCACCCGGATATAAGACAGTGTTGAATAGTAGACAGGGGTTGTCTATTATACGGGTGTCTCTTATAAACAGGCTAGCCTCATTATAAGACACCTATTTGTGTGTACGAGATAAGACATATGTGTCTTATAATCGAAACTGCAATATATTGTAGTGAAAATTGAAGTACCGCGTACATTTTTACCCTTGCGACACGCGAATTCTGCCACGTGCTGACTCACGTACTACCAAATTTGCATTTGCAAGTATTCTCCATGACGTGGCACCCCGAACAATGGTTGCCGAAGTGGCACCTTCGCAACATCCACACTCATAATGAGAAACTCTTTTCAAGATGTGTGAAAATATTTCTAAGTAGTTTAAAAAAGTTTCCATTTATAAGACTTATAAGACACCCAAAACCTCCCCAAATACAAGATAACCCAAGATTTTTTTTTAGTGTATGAGATAAGACATATATGTCTTATATCCGGGCGATGACGGTATTAAGGACGCTCTCCTCAACGGTTATTTCAAACAATAAATCCCTCAGTGGATCAGGCTTACCTCCCACTCTGACGGGAAATATTTCTAGTTGCGACCTTCGTTGCGTCATCGCCCTCACAAGGAGTCCGTAACCTTACCCACTTCAAAATATGTTTCACTCTGTACAACCCTTAGTCCCAGACATAATAAGGGTAGCTACCCGCGAGCGCCCAATTTCGGGCCTTGAAATTAGTGGAGCCCAGGTGTACCTTCCCGTGATTCCTGAGACCCCACCCACACACTTGGCATTTTTTCGCATGCACTGCACAGATATCAGGTGCGCGCCGAAGTGTTTAGCCTCGCTGGAACCTATCACAGCAACAACACCACACACCTTGTACTGGGGTTTCAGCTATAGTTTTTTGTTATTACACTGTTGGTTCAGTTTACTTATGATTTTTACACTGGCAAAATCAGTATCAAAAAAACCGTGAACGCTGATTTGGACACCTCGTTGGCCGGGGCACGCTGATCCATCAGCATACCCTCAAACCAATCCGTGGGCCTGAGTGCGAGGTTTGGTGAAACAGTGCGCGCGAATTCGGCGAAGCCCCGTTAGCAGTAACGGACGAACAACGGCTGTTGCTGTACGCGATGTAGTCGGGCTCCGTAAGGAATGCCGAGAAAATTCCTTACACTACCCCCCCCCCCTCAAGAAGCCCCCTCCGCTACGCGAGTGCGTGTATATCGCGGAATCCCCGGCTCCTTAGGTACACGTGCAGGGCAGGGTGGTTTTCGATGTTGGCCAGGGGCACCCAGCTGTCCTCAGTTGGCGTGCGATCCTTCCAGCGAACGAGGAATTCAATCCTCTTGATTCCCGTGGGGTGTCGAATCCGATGGCTCAGGATTTTTTCGGGCTCGATGATCGGCTCCGATGCAGGGCGAGTCATGGATGGCGGGCGGTGGCGAGGCAGTTGGCTTGTGGTTGGGATGTAGGGGCGAAGCAAGCTGACATGGAACGAAGGGCTGATGTACCAGTCGGTTGGTAACAGTAGGTGCGCGGTTACTGGCGTGATCATGTGGCTGATTTGGAATGGGCCGCAGTAGCGCGGTCGAAGTTTTGGTACGTCGGGCAGTCGCAGATTTTGCGTGTCGAGCAGTACGTAATCCCCTGACTGGTATGTGACTGGGTGGCGGTGGCGGTCAGCGTTGCGCTTAGCGATGACGTTTGCTTTTTTAATTGCTTCTGCGGCTCTGGTGCGGGCAGCTTGCAGAATTTCGGCGAATTGCTGTGCACGTGGTGTTGGGTTGTCCGGACTCGGCGTCATGGGCACTGTAGGGTTTTGCCCGTAGTTCAGGTAGAAGGGGGACTGCTGCGTCGTCGCTGACGTGGCAATGTTGTACGCGAACT